TATTTTAAATTTGAATTGATATAATTAAATATCATATATCTACAATACTAATAAGAGCCCAAGAGAGTTAGGCCTATAATAGGTAGAAAAAATGACGGTCAAATTTTTTAATCAAATTTTTCCTTAAGATTTCCTAATTTATACTTAATGAATGTGATTATCGTTAACTTTTCCATTAAATATTATGTTTTCCGTTAATTTCGATTCGTTCACCGTTAACTTACTCATTGATTTCAATAAGAAAGGTATTAGGTTCGAACCCCATCCCAATTGGCATAATTAGTATGAACTCTATTTTACAACAAAAATAATACATATGTATTTCTTTAATTTAGAATTATGTGTCTACAATGTCTTTATTAAAAAAAAAATTATTTATTATAAATATAATAAATTAAATAAGAGAAATAATTTCATTAGTTATATTGTCTTTATTTTTCTCCAATATAAAAACTCTTTCCATTCAAATTCATCAATTGATTATATTCGCTACATTGTCCATACAATGTCTTTGTTAAAAAAAAATTATTCATTATCAATAAATTAATTAATAGAAGTAATTTTATTAGTTCTATTGTTTTTATTTTTCTCCAATATAAAAATTCTTTACATTAAAATTCATCAATTGATTATATTCACTACATTGTCTATTACGGAGTATCTTTTTTGTGCACTATTTTTTAATTAAATATCAAAGTTATAATACAAAATAATGCTATATATTTATTTACCAAGTGTTTTATTAATACAATGAAAAAAAAAAAAAAAAAAAAAAAAAAAAAACATAGTTAATAAAGCCAATCATATTAACTACTTGAGAGATTTCTTGACAAAAAGAGTATTCAAATCACACAACAAATTGAAGTGAGAACTACCCGCAATGTTCTTGTTTGACAATCAGCAGTTAGCAGTTAGCGTTAGCGGATCATATTAGCGGATATGACCAACGAATTATATCAACGGTTGGTGAAAAGATATTTGAAAAAATTAGTTATTTAGATTAACATGTAGTAGTAGTAGTAGTAGTAGTAGAAAAATTAAGACAATGAAGAGAAAAATGGAAAATAAAGAATTTCGGAAAATGTCTTCCTACTAAAACACTAGGAAGACATTTTCCTCTAAATTTGACCTTTTTCGATTGACTAGAATGAATAGTTTCATTTGACTTCATTTTCTGAGTATCTAAACACTAAAAAATTTAGAAAATGACTTAAGAAAATAATTTTTTGAGTTTCGAAATGAACTCTTAATATAGTACATTTTTTATGGTCCATACAATATTATGTGGATCATGGTCCACACAATAATTTGTCCATTTTAATAGTCTATAAAAGTCATTATTATTTTTTTTGAATCAAAATGGAGGGGGTAACCAAGGACCTCAAGAGAGGTTCCTCACAAAACCATGCCGTGCCCAACAGTAACAATATAAGCATAATTAAATATTCTTGTATTGTATATCGTGAGTCACAATAATAATATAACAATAATTAAATATTCTTCAATTCTATATTCTTTAAGGATTTCTATTACCATCATTAATTATTCCCTATTTTACAAAAATTAAATAATTTAACCAATTATAAAAAGAGATAATTAAATAACGCACGGGACAATTTTTAATTAAAAAATTTAAAAATTTATTAATATATATATATATATATATATATATATATATATATATATATACATATATATATATATACATATATATATATATACATATATATATATACATATATATATATATACATATATATATATATACATATATATATATACATATATATATATATACATATATATATATATATATATATATATATATATATATATATATATATATATATATATATATATATATAGAATAAAGTTCAAATGCGGCGGGGTCTTCCCATGCGGCGGTGCGGCGGAATTCCAGAATACACCAACAGTGTTAACAATATGCACCAATAGTGTAAGAAAAACACACCACAATGAAATGCAATAAAACATCACAGAATACACAACAGACTCAAAAAAATATATACCATATAACTCACCACCCCCAATGGTGTATTTCTGAACAGTGTATGGTATTTTTACTCACACCTAATGGTGTGTGTTTGGTGATGCAGGGCTCTGTTTACTCTATTTTTTGTGGTGTGTTTTCCTAATGTTGATGGTGCATATTTGTTGAACTATTGGTGTTGCCGCACCGTAAGAAATCACCGCACCGTAAGACACTGTCGCACCTGAACTCGCATATATATATATATATATATATATATATATATATATATATATATATATATATATATATATATATATATATATATATATATATATATATATAGAATAAAGTTCAAATGCGGCGGGGTCTTTCCGTGCGCCGGTGCGGCGAAATTCCAGAACACCAACAGTGTAATAAAAGCACACCACAATGAAATGTAATAAAACATCACAAAATACACAACAGACTCAAAAAAATACACCATATAACTCAACACCCCCAATGGTGTATTTCCGAACAATGTATGGTGTTTTTACTCACACCTAATGGTGTGTGTTTGTTGATGCAGGGCTCTGTTTACTCTGTTTTGTGTGGTGTATTTTCCTAACGTTGATGGTGCATATTTGTTGAACTATTGGTGTTGCCGCACCATAAGAAATCGCCGCACCGTAAGACACTGCCGCACCTGAACCCGCCTCTCTATATATATATATATATATATATATATACATATATATATATATATATATATATATATATATATATATATATATATATATATATATATATATATATATATATATAGAAGAGCGCTCATATGCGGCGGGGTCTTACGGTGCGGCGGTGCGGTCAAATTCCAGAATACACCAACAGTGTTAACAATATGCACCAACAGTGTAATAAAAACACACCCCAATGAAATGTAATAAAACATCACAAAATACACCACAGACTCAAAAAAACACACCATATAACTCACCACCCCCAATGGTGTATTTCCGAACAGTGTATGGTGTTTTTACACACACCTAATGGTGTGTGTTTGGTGATGCAGGGCTCTGTTTACTCTGTTATGTGTGGTGTATTTCCTAACATTGATGGTGCATATTTGGTGAACTATTGGTGTTGCCGCACCGTAAGACACTGCCGCACCTGAACCTGCCTATATATATATATATATATATATATATATATATAGAATAAAGTTCAAATGCGGCGGGGTCTTCCGTGCGGCGGTGCGACGAAATTCCAGAATACACCAACAGTGTTAACAATATGCACCAACAGTGTTAGAATAACACACCACAATGAAATGCAATAAAACATCACAGAATACACAACAGACTCAAAAAAATAAATCATATAACTCACCACCCCCAATGGTGTATTTCTGAACAGTGTATGGTGTTTTTACTCACACCTAATGGTGTGTGTTTGGTGATGCAGGGCTCTGTTTACTATGTTTTTTATGGTCTATTTTCCTAACGTTGATTGTGCATATTTGTTGAACTATTGGTGTTGCCGCACAATAAGAAATCGCCGCACCGTAAGACACTGGCGCACCTGAACTCGACTCTCTCTCTCTCTCTCTGTCTCTCTCTCTCTCTCTCTCTCTCTCTCTCTCTCTATATATATATATATATATATATAGGAAGGTTCAAGTGCGGCAATGCACTTAGGTGCGGTGGTGCGGTTAATTGTAGGCCATTAGATTAGATAAATCCAACAAATCACATTCATCAAGGCTTTTTCAATATTTTCGCGCACGTTCTCACACTATGCGAACTGCAAGGTTAAAGTCGTCATTGGGCACCAGAATAGATCGAATCATAGTGTTGTGTATTTTATGTTCGTTATTGGTGCATTATTAACTTTACTGTGGTGTATTTGAGGATTCGTGTTGGTGCCAAGTTCAGGTTTGCCCGCGCCTTCTCATGCGGTCAGTGCTGACGCACTAATAGTTATACAACGCACCATTAGGTATGAATAAAAGCATCACACAGTGTTCAGAAATACACCATTGGGGTGGTGAGTTATATGGTGTATTTTTTGGGTGTGTTGTGTGTTTTTTGGTGTATTTGTGCATTTCATTGTGGTGCTTTTTTCTAACATTGTTGGTGTCTTTTGTTAACACTGTTGGTGCATTCTGACAAGCGACCGATATAAATGACCACTACAATTACCATAACATCCCCCACTTACGAAGACGCGCTTAAATCTTTAAATCTTCAGAAATTAAACGCTGCCGTTAGATTAAGCAGAATAGACGATGCTGATACGGCCGCACCGCCGCACCTAAAGCCAATGCCGCATTTGAGCGCTAATATACATACATACATACATACATACATAAATACATATATATATATATATATATATATATATATATATATATATATATATATATATATATATATATATATATATGTTTAGTACATAGTATATTAAATTGTTAAAATTAAAAAATTTAAATATAGTTATTACAATGTATAATTGTTTTAAGGGTTTTTTTTTTTTTTTTTTTTTTTTCAATAATAAGCTTAAAATATATACTCCGCAATGGCCAACTCAAGCCAAATTTGGTATTTTTGAGTTCGGTTAACTAAGTTTGTGTGACATGATTCATTTAACATGTATAATTTGGTTTGATTTAATCTAAAAGATTTAAGTTCAAATTGAGACTAAGTTAAATGGGTTTGGTTAAATTTATTTTGACAGGAAACAACAATGTGATTGGTTTAGATGATAAGGCTATATAAAAGGAGACAAAACCTGGTAAGTTTGTTGTAACAGTGGCAAATGGCACTGCAAACACCACAAATCTTCCACCAAATTTTCCTCACCATTCTCCCCAAACAGATTCTCTGTAAATAAGTCTCTTCTCACTTCTCAATTCAATATAAAAACCTCCACCCTCTTCAAGAACTTCAAACCACACACACCAAAAGCAAAAACAAGAAAAAAAAAACAAAAAACAATAAAATAAAAGCAAAATAAACCCCTCAAAATGGATTCCAAGATCATATTCTTCTCCATCACCCTTCTGTTCAGTAGTGGTGCAGCCATGAACATCACCACTACAGTCACTCTTCCTTTAGTCAATCACAACTCTGCAAATACAAATTCAGTTCTTGCAGCTTCTCCAGTTCCATCTCCTTCTAGCCCGACCAATGCCCCGTCTGCTAACCCGACCCCGACCAATGCCCCGTCTGCTAACCCGACCCCGACCAATGCCCCGTCTGCTAGCCCAACCAGCACCCCACCTGCCAGCCCGAACGGCGCCGTCCCTACTAGCCCGAACGGTGCCGCCCCTACTAGCCCAAGCACTAATCCTCCTCAACCTGCTGGCCCAATCACACCCGGGGCAGCGCCTAGCCCAAGGAAGATGTTGTCGCCATCACTGCCACCAAATATTATCACGCCTGCCGCATCACCTGCCCCAACTGGAGATGAAGAGGACTCCAGTGTTGAAAGTTTGAGGGTTAGTGCACGTATTATTGTTGCAGCAATAGTGTCATCCAATCTATTCCTCATGTTGATGGCTTGACACAAGGAGGAAATATGTTCTGTTTGTGTTAGACACCTAAGAACATCCCAATAGTTGTAGTTTTTGTACGTGCGACTAGAAAGAAAAAATAATAATAATAATAAGATTTACGCGCATACATTAGCTTGATTAAAATACTATAGTAAAAATTCTCCTGAAAAAAAAAAAACAGTACAAAAAGGATCAAACTATATCTATAATGAAATTACCAATTTGATCCTTGATTACTTTTTTTTGACCAATTAAGTCCCTCAATTTTAAAAATCTTAACCAATTTGGTCCTCCGTTTGTTTGACTGTTAGTCAATTGTTGAGGGACTTAATTGGTTAAGATTTTTAAAGTTGAAGGACTTAATTGGTTAAAAAAAATAGTTAAGGATTAAATTGGTAATTTTACTATAGTCAAGGGACCATTTTGGTAATTAACTCTAAAAAATTGACGTAAATGGAAGTTCTAAATACATATACACATACCTTGGTCGGAAATAAAAGACAAATTTTTAAAATAATAATAATAATGCAGGGAAATTTCCGACCACCCTTTTGAGGTGGCCGCTAGTCCTTTTGAACGCGGCTGAAATTATCGTTAATAACTTACCGTCTGACCACTTTTAAGAAGTGGTCGGAAATCTTCGACCACTTTTTGACGCCTTCACCACTTAACAAAAAAAAAAAAAAAGAGAAAAAAAAAAAGAAACAAAATCGCTGATTTCCAGTCGTGTATGCTTGAACATCTCTTATATAATTTTGTATTGATAGAGTTTGAAATACTTATTTAAAAATAAACATTTGGGATTATCCCTTCACGCAATGCGCTTGAAAAGCTAGACTCTGGACCATTGTATAATTTGCTTACTAGAGAGGTATGTGATTGCTAAATTACTCTATAGATTTACAAATATGAACTATATTAGGCTATGTTCGGTATAACTTATTTTAGAGGTTATAATTACTTATATTAAGTCTTTATTTGGTAAACCATGTAGAGCTTAAAATAATAGCTTATTTTGAAACACTACTACAAGTAGTGTTTCAAAATAAGTTCATGGCTTTTTAACTTTTGTTTTTTGTTAGAGTTAATGAACGATTTGGTCCCTCAATTATTAGCGACGGCCAGATGGATAACTAAAAATAATTGTTTTCGGGGACCAAATCGACGGCCGGAGGGACTAAATCGACTAAAAATAATTATTTTTGGAGACCAAAGCGATGAATAAGCAATTAAGGGACTACATTGTTAGTTCGCTAATAATTGAGGGACCAAATCATTGATTAACTCTTATATATATATATATATATATATATATCTTTAGTAATTTACAAAATTGACACAATCTATCCTTCATTAATCAAAATCGTAATATCTTAGTTTTTCCTTTTATGTCTTTTGACACCTATTAGCTAAATCAACAATTAATTTTACCAAACATTTTAATTTCAATTAATTAACTTATTATCTATTAAATTGTTAAAATTAAAAAATTTAAAGAGAAAATTTCAATTTTAGTCACACGACTATAGGGGCCTTGTTAATATAACTTTTGAAAGTGTCAATTTAGTACCTTGAGTATGTAATTTTTGTCAATTTTGGTCACTTCGGCCAAATTGCCGGTCAAATTTGACTGAAAAAATTTAATCCAACATTTAGTCACAAATGTGAGGGGCAAAATGGTCTTTTCTAGAGCTTCTCCTAATTGGTGTTGACCGGACCGAATTCCTTGGCTTCAAGACCCGGTTCAGCGACAAACTCCTAAGCATTTAGTCTATATCAAAGCCCTAATATTTGAGCGACAAGAGTAGAAAGAAAGGTAGAGAGAAGAACGAAAGAAGATGGGAATGGAAGGTTTGTAGCGCCATTCCCCATCTCCATTTTGGGTATGAGTAATTTCTACGCTTCTTCTTCTTCTTCGAGTAATGAGTACAATGAATTTAGAAAAAAGTTCCCAATTCACCATTGTAAATGTGGTTATCAATTAAAGATTTGAACTTCATGGATAAATGAGAATCCAGGTCGGAGATTTTGGCAATGTCGTGATAGTATGGTAAGTAATTATTATTATTTTTGGTTAATTTGCAATGTTGTTTCCAAAGATTTTGGCCAGTACGTTGTACGCGGAGATTTTATTATTAATTTGCAATGCTGTGGTTTATTATGTTTGGTTAATTATTATTATTTTTGGTTAATTTTTGGTTAATTTGCAATCAGTACCATCCCAGTACGCAGAGGTTTATAATTTTTTTGGTTAATTTGCAATGGTTAATTTGCAATCATGACCATCCCAGTACGCAGAGGTTTTTAATTTTTTGGTTAAAGTTTGGTTTTTGTGTTTTTGTGTTAATACATAGTCACGTGGGCTGTGGATTTGTGGATTGGTATGACCCTCCAATTTGCTATCAATCGAAGCGAATCATTCCAGGATTGCTAAAACGCATAAATAGACAAGATGAAGAAATCATAGCACTAAATAGTAAGCTTAAAGGTGAGAAGAAGGAGGATGGCAAAATGTTGAAGTGGTTGAACAAAGTGTTGATTGTAGTTTTTGTTGTCAGTAATTACTGTGTCACTCTGTAATGTAGTGTAATGTAATGATCCTTTTGGTAATGTAATGAAGACATGAAGTGATCCTTTTGTCAATGTAATTTAGTGATCCTATTGGTAATGTAATGAAGTCATCTTTTTGCTAATGTAAAGAAGTGATCCTATTGTCGTTAAAATTGTCATTGATTAACCAAACATGCCATTACAAAATTAAACAGTCACACTGCCATTATACACAAACCACACTGTCAGACTACCACTATAACCAAACCACACTGCCATTATAGCAAAACACTGTCCACATTCATTGCCTTCAAAGTTCTAACAATTCCAACAATTCCAAGAGTACATCAGTTAAGGTTTATATTCACTGATCAAAAAACAATCCAACACTAAGCTTGAGTCAGTCTAGGTTGATTGGGTCATCAATGTTTCCAAAGAATTTGGACTTCATCGTTGTCTTGCTCCTCGTATAATATGGCTTCTTACGGTTGGATTCCTTTTCAGTTGTGCTCTTCTTTTTGCTCATTGTAGACTGCTCATGATGCTGCCCAACAACTTCATGCTGCTGCTGCTGCCCAACAACTTCACTCATTTCATGCTGCTGCTGCTCATGAACTACATTACCTTCTTCCTGCTTTGAAGTGATGTGGATGGAGATTTGTTTAGTGGCATAAATCACCCTTTTCTTTGGCTTCATTGAAAACAATACAATAGTGTTAGTTACAAACCATGCATAGATTGAAATTTAAAAAAAAAAATTATATGACACAAGGAATATTACCTTTTGCTTTGGATTAGATGGACATTTCCTTGAATTGTGTCCACCTTGCTTACAAATGGAGCAGTGCAATTGTATATGCTTCTTGAGAAATAAATTCCATCAGAAGTCAACTTTGGCTTCTTAGGCTCATCCTCACCTGCAGATTTCTTCCTTAGCTTCTTAGGCCCCCCAACCTTGGCAGAATAGACAGGGGGTAGTAGAGTAGTTTTGTTATTGATTGGCCACTCATCTGGACCTGCCATAGGGTTAATAGAGCCCTGGTATATGTTCAGATATGTCTCCTTTGAGTAACATGGATGTACAAAGTCATAAACTGCTCCATTCCCATTCTTCTTCCAAATAGCACACACTGCATGCTTGCATGGAAGCCCAGTGAGATCCCACTTCCTACAAGAACATTTTTTGTTCTCCAAGTCCACCTCTTGTTGGTCTCCATACAATTGTTGGACTTCAAACTTAAAAAAATCACACTGTGTACGTAGCCAAATATCCAGCAGCTTCCTTCTCAATGTGCTTCACTTTTCCAAGAATTTTAGGACAAATTAGTGAGTTCCAACCAGCTGCTTTTTGTCTTTGTTCGAAGAGTTTAGCCATTATCATTTTCCTTATTGTTTCAAGACAGTCAATAATAGGCTTCTCCCTAGCCCCAAGTAAAGTTGAATTCCATGACTCACAAATATTGTTCACCAACATGTCACAATGGCTAAATGTTGAGAAGTGGGATCTAGACCATTCCTTAGGATCCTTATCACCTAACCATTGATATGCTTCTTCATTTAATGCCCTAAATTTGCTTAAAGCAGTAGTGAATGAAGTCATAGTTGTTGCCTTATCACAAGCCCATAGACCATCCCTCAGTGCTCTACCTTGAAACCTTGCCACTTTCATATTGGAATGTAGGTGCCTCACACAAAATATGTGTTCTACTCTAGGTAAGACTACTTCAACGAAAGCTGGAATTAATCGCTTTTGTTTATCACTTATAAAACAGAAATCCTGCTGACATTGGTCTGAAATCTGCAAATCATCCTTAAGCAGTTGTAGAAACCAACTCCAGGACTCCTTTTTCTCACCTTTTACAATAGCATATGCAAGGGGAAAAATGCAGTCATTAGCATCCACATAGACAGCAGTAAGCAACATCCCACCTGTAGAATATCTCAAGTGACAAACATCCACTCCTATGTGGGGTTTACAATGCTTGAATCCTCTTGTTTGCTACTATCCCAGCACATGTACATCCTTAAAAATCTGTTCTACCCAGATTCATCAGCCAAATCACTCTCCTTGACAATACAAGTGGTCTATGGGTTTGTCCTTAAAATTTCATCATGGTAGTTCCAAATCTTCTTGAAGTTGTCTTCATCATCACCTAGTCTTTGTTTCTTAGCCTTCCAAATTGCCCTATAGGCTTGTTGATCAGTTAGATAGAAAGCCTCTTCACTGATCACCTTATCCCTGAATTTTTTCATCATCCAGTTAGGATGGTCTTTTAATTCCTTTGACCACCTCTTTACAACAACACTTGCTTTGACTAAAGAGTTCTCCTAAACCCAAGAGCAACCGTCATGCACATCCACCATGTTTAGTATCCTCCAAGACAGTGAGTTTTGTACTTTCCTCAGTCCTATTCTCCAAGGACAATCATGTTGTGAACACTCAACTATAACCCTCTGCT